CCGAACCTCGTGATAAAATTGTGCTGGCGCTCCATCCATTTGAAACCACATGGCTGCTCTGATGTCAAACGGAATAACTTCTAATAACATTGGGAACTAATCCAATTAATAAAATAGAATAAAAATCATATTAATTCGTTCTGTTTTAGAGTACTTAAACTGTCATTTTTATGTGGGTTTTGTAAAAAACTACTGAATGATGAACTGTCAACTTCAAATAATATATAGACAAATATTTTAGACCTGTCAAACTGCGATAAATGATTCAATGAATTATTAAATTTGATCATTTTGTCATGAATCCTGAAAGTATGCGATTTCCATGAAAACCTCAAGAATTAGGTATAGAATACTTTTATAGCATTCAATAAAAATGTAAATTTTTTATTTGTTATTGTTATAAAATACGGGTTGTTTCAATTTTAATTAAGCAAGTTCAAAACATGCAATTGTTTCAACACAATTTTGGGACTTTTTGACGTAATCGAATTTTTATTAGTTTAGCATGAAACAGTATCTATTAGTAGCCGAAAGCTAACATTTTGATTCGAAATCTCAGAAACCGTATGCTTTAAGTATAATAAACCTTAATAAAACTCACATTTATTTCGATCGCAGATACTAATAACATCATAATTTGGGTTGAATCTAGTAATTGGGACACCCTGTACTCACATTTAACATTGCATCTTTCCTCAAGAGATCTATTGTATAGTGATTTGAAAAATACACTAATTTTTTTCGTAAGAACATCCCCAATTTTTTACATCAACTTCTTGGAATTTGACCTCACCACAAATGAATAATATTTATCTTTTGCCATAAAACACTCAATATTTGGGCTGGCGATGTTAATTAAATTGATTGTATCTACAATTTCTCTCTGGTGAGTTTTCCATATTTGACTAATTATATACAGGGTGACCAGAAAAGGTGCGACCAACACTTAACGAGGCAATTCTAGAGTGGGACAGGTTCCTATAACACTGTTGCGAAAAATCAATAATAACGGATCTACAGAACATTTAAATTAAATTTTAAAAACACATTTTTTTAAACAACTTTTTTGCTGGTTATCAGATTGTTTTAAAATTTGGCACACTTATTACTAATAATCATGTGTTTTACTGTTCAAAAGTTGACATTTATCCGTTAATGATAAAGGCTTGAACTCACCCATGTCATCTACTTAATAACCTATACTTTTTTATTTTTTTACTTTAAGTTTACTTGTCACATTCGTATCATTAATCCGTGATATCAGTCACGTACATTAAATTATTTCCATTAAAAAATGAAATTAACTTAAAATATATCTCTCCCAAAAGAGTCAAAAGAATAGTCCACAATTCTCGAATTAACTTTCTTTTAGAACTGCCTGTTATAATGGTGCCTTATACCTATGAGCCAAACTTAAAATTAAATTTTATGATAGTTTAAATTATAACACTATAGGTAGGTACAACTGCTACTATTTTCA